ACCGGGGTAGACTACGTGGGAGTCCAGCTACATAGCCATTATGCTAACTGCTGGTTCCCGTACCTGGTAGGATTTTTAAGCCACTAGGTCTGGGACTCGAACTGTAGTCAGCCATATGGGAGTCCAGTGCCTTAACCCCCACACCACCTGCTGGACTGATTTCGATAGTTCGAAAAACTGAAAGTAAAACAGCATTGCATGGAGAGAGTCCATGGTTAAAAAATAAATTTAAACAAACAATTTTTTAAAAGTTTATTTTATTTAACTTTATTTATTTATTTATCTATTTTAATTTGATGAGAGAGGGAGGGAAAGTGAGAAAGAAAGTGGCCAGATCCTGGATTCAAATTGGTGTCGGTCATGTGGGAGTCCATCGCCCTTAACCACCATACTACTTGCTGGCCCAAAACATTTTAAGACATTGATTTAAATGTTTTTCCTAAATGCTGTTTCACTAATTTATTTCCCTTTTTCTTCTCAGCCTGTCTCGATATAGATTGAAATTTAGCGCTGATAAAGTAGACACCATGATTGTTCAGGCAATTTGTAAGTATAGAGGACATGAGAAGTCTAATCTTTCTCTGTTCTTTGTGGTTTTCCCCTTCTGTTGAAACTATCTATATGAGTCTATTTAGAAAGAGCAGATTAATAAGTAGATAAATAGGGAAATTCAGAATAGGAAAAGGGAAGACTCCTTTTAACTTGATTAGTTGGAAATGTGAATCACATTGATATTATGTAAACTGAACCATTCAACTTCTTAAATGAAAATTTAAAAAAACCACAGTGCTATGGGTCTGGCTCTGCTTAAAATAATTTAAAGCAAGGACTCTATCCCTTATACACCATGTATGGCCACATTGTTTGCCATAGGTACGTGGTAGAAACAACTCGGATAATTCATTAATGGATGAGTGGATTAGCAAAACTGCCGTATATACATACTATGGAATGCCATTCGGGATTTTTTTTATTTTTAAGTTTTGCGAGAGGGTGCCTGTGCTCCCTGGAGATAGAAAAAAGTGCTCTGTCCCATGGGGCATGGTCATATTTAATCACTTCATTTCCCCATCCATTTGGGGCTTGGGACATAACACATGCTTGGGCCTGGAGTGTTTTTCAAGCCTCCAGGTCAAGATTTGAACTCCATAATCAGCCATGTGGAATTTAGGCACCTTAACCACTATTCCACCTCCTGACCCCATTCAGCCTTGAAAAGGAATAAAGTTCTGGAAGCAGGAGATGACCTAATGGTTATATCACTGGATTCCCTTGTAGTCACCCACAGTTTGAGTCGGATCCACTGTGTGTGTGTGTGCATGGCTATAATCCCAGAGGAGTATAGAAAAAAAGGGATTGCTACATGGCCATTTTCCTGGGAACTGATTTCTCACTTCTGTCTCTGGCAAGCACATATGCCATATAGTTTAAAAAAAAAAAAAAAAACTTGAAAAAATAGGAATAAAGTTCTAATACTATAGCATGAATAAAACTTGAAAATACGTTAAGTGAAATTCGCCAAACACAAAAAAGTGAAAAAGTTAATGATCACATATATGTGAGGTACCTAGAATAGGCAAATTCATACATACAGAAAATATTATAGTATAGAGATTACCAGCATCTGGGTAAATGGAAATAGGGTATGGTACCGTTTAATGCGGATGGAGTTGTGGCTTGGAATGATCTAAGTGTTCTGGAAATGGAGAGTGGTAATGGTTGCACAGCCTTGGGAATGTACCTGCTTAACAGCTTTTTTTCCCCATTTTAATCTATTGCAGCCTTGTTAGATGACTTGGACAAAGAACTAAATAACTACATTATGCGATGCAGAGAGTGGTATGGCTGGCATTTTCCTGAATTAGGAAAAATTATTTCAGACAATTTGACATATTGCAAGTGTTTACAGAAAGTTGGTGAGTAATTTGTCTTTTAAGTCATAAAAATAATCAAATATTTAATCCAACAACATAAATTATAGTGATATTTTTTTCTTAAAAAGATTCTCAGATTTAAATATGTTCGGGAATTGTCGGGGTTTTTTTTTGTTTTGTTTTGTTTTGATTCTTTCCCTCTTAAAGATTTTTTCCATAGGGTATGTGTGCTCACCAGAGAGAGACAGAGAAAGTGAGAAGTCACTCCCTTGGGATGGCCACTCTGTTGTCCCTTCTTCTGGGATTTTGGGCATGCACAGATGCCGGGTGTGATTCCAAGCCACCAGGTCTGGGAATCAAACTGCACTTAACTATGATGGAGTCCGGCACCTTAACTACTGTGCTACCTGCCAGGCACAAGAAGTGTGGTAGCCCTGGGTAGTGTAGGCATTTAATGTCTATTAGATTTCAGAAAGAAAGTTACATGTTATATATATTTTTGAGCGAGAAAGTGAAAAGGCAAGCCACCAGGTCCTGGACTTGAACCACAGTCAACCATGTGGGAGCCCAGTGCCCGTAACCACCATGCCACCTGTTGGTGCCAAAAGTTACATATTATATTAATGGCGTATAGTAATATCACTAGGAGAACCTGACATTTGTTAATTTTGATTACTTGGCTCATAGTATATCGACTATAACTGTTCCAGAATTTATTGGTCTTGGCTTCTGTATAAAATTGGCTATGACAATACTGTTAGTCCTATCTTTAATTTTTGCTACGTTTTCTGTCACAGGTTTTCCTAGAGTACTTTTTATTATTTTAACTGATTAATTTTTGGAGGGAGGTGGTGGTGAGAAATTTCCTCTATAAAATCAAACGTTTACACGGGAAATTGCTGATCAAACATGTTCATTTCTTGTTTAGTTCAGGCATCCTTTTCATTGGCTTATCTCTACTTTTTCTTTTGGCTGAGTTAGAGTGATTCTCCTTCCTTCTCTACAAACTTTCCATAGGGGACAGGAAGAACTATGCCTCTGCCCAGCTTTCTGAATTGCTGCCAGAAGAAGTTGAAGCAGAAGTAAAAGCAGCTGCAGAGATATCAATGGGAACAGAGGTTTCAGAAGAAGATATTTGCAACATTCTGCATCTTTGTACCCAGGTAAATAATAGCCATAGAGAATCTATTTGTGATATTAGCAACCCTGTTAATTTTCGGATGGCAGTGATGATTTTCACATTTATTGTTCACCTGATTACATCAAAATGAGGGTGTACAGTCACTACCTCATCTGATGCCATCTTCATTTGTTTGCTGATATACACTAAAATGAAGTAATTTAGAATTGTCTGAATAATGAGTTGATCAAATATCCACGTCCAGGACTTTAACCGTGGTCAGACATACAGGAATCCAGCACTTTAACCACTATGTTACTTGCTGGCCCAAGCTTTGGGATTTTTAAAAAATGAGACAGTATAGATTAGCATCTTCAGGTAGTATACTAAGTTGTTTACATACATTTTCTAGTAAAATATTTATAACAATCATTTCACGGAAAACAGGCATTAGATATAGGTGTGATTGTATATGAAAAGCTCTGTTGTTGCTCTTTGAGAACTCTAGTGTTATAGACATGTGGGATTTTTTTTTTTTTTAAGAATTATTTTGATTTTAACTTTAGTTACTATTATTTTCCAATTTGACCATGATTGAGGGAAAGTGAGAAAGCAAGCCACCAAGACCAGGACTCGAACTGTGGTCAGTTAGGAGGGAGTCCAGCTCCCTGCCAGCCCTAACACATGGATTTTATAAGATATCTATGACCTATCTGTTTCATTTTTTCTTCTAGGTGATTGAAATATCTGAATATAGAACCCAGCTCTATGAATATCTCCAAAATCGAATGATGGCCATCGCACCCAACGTTACAGTTATGGTTGGGGAATTAGTTGGAGCACGGCTTATTGCCCATGCAGGTGATGGTTTTAAGGGAAAGGAATTGTAGTTACTTTTTAAAAAGTAGATTGTGTTGAGGCCAGTAGGTGGCGTGGTGGCTAAGGACACTGGACTCTGATATGGCCGATCGCAATTTTGAGTCCTGGACCTGGCAGCTTGCTTTCTCACTTTCTCTTGCTCTCACTCCGTCCCTCTCTAGTCAAATTAAAATAAAGTTAAAATAATTTTTTTTTAAAGTAGATAGTGTCTAGATAAGGACTGAAAGCCAAGTGTCAATGATGACTTTTATTTGTTTGCCTGATTTCCTTTTGGATAATGAAGGCAACTTTAGTCACTACCTCTTCTGAGACACTTGTGGTCCATTGTGAGAAGTTTGTCATAGTTAATTGGGATCATCAAATGAATGCAAGAGAACAAAATCTGTTAACATTTTATAGCGTTAAAAATTCATCAGGCTGTGGGGCCAGTAGTTAGTGTAATGGTTACGTCGCTGGACTCCCACGTAGTCGACCGCGGTTCGAGTCCTGGACCCGGCGGCTTGAACTCAGGCCAGGCGCATGTGTGTGTGTCCAAGATCCCAAGAGGAGAATGGAGGAGAAGGGATTGCGGCGTGGCCATCCCCCCTGAGGGGTGATTTCTCACTTTCTGTCTCTCTGTCTCTCTCTCTCTGGCGAGCGTACACGCCCTGTGGCAAAAACCTCTCCAAAAAAAAAAAAATTCATCAGGCTGTGGGGCCAATACTGAATTCCAACATGGCTGACCACAGTTCAAGTCCTGGACCTGGCAGCGCTCTGTCTCTGTCTGGTCAAATTAAAAAATAATAATAATTGGTGCCAGCAGGTGGTGTGGTGGTTAAAGGCGTTGGCACATGGCTAGCCTGGACCTGGTGGCTTTCTTTCTTTCTCTTTCTCTTTCCTCTCCCTTTCTGCTCGTCCCCAAAATAATTCTTTTTTTAAAAAATAAAAAATGATAAGCACAAATGGAATTAAATGTATAATTCTTTTTTAAAAATGATGGTTGGATGGGACCGGCAGGTTGCGTGGTGGTTAAGACCCTGGGCACTCCCACATAGCTGACCACGGTTCGAGTCCCAGACCTGGTGGCTTGCTTTCTTATTTCTGTGTGTGTGTGTGTGTGTGTGTGTGTGTGTGTGTCTGTCAAATTAAAAATAAATGAATATAAATGAATGAATAAATAAATTTAAAAAAAAATGATGGCTGGATATTGTGTGGCCTACTGGGTGATTTGAGTCCTAGACCTACAGCTTAAAAATGGTCGAGGCACATGAGCATTCATATTCAAAATCCCTAGAGGAGAAGGGATTACAATGTGGCCATCTTCCATGCAGGCGATCTCTCTCCCTGATTGGTATTGGGCACTTGCCAGAGTGAGGGAGAAAGTGAGTAATCATCCTCCCAAGAGTATGGCCAAACTGTGATCCCTTATCCTGCTTGGGTTTTTGAGTTCATATGCACACCCACCTGGCATGATTTTTATGCCAGCAGGTCTGGGACTTGAACTACAGAGCTGACCATGTAGAATCCAGGACTTTATTCTTCATGCCACCTCCTGGCCTAATTTCAATAATTTTAAAGAAAATAGGTAAAGATATATCCTTGATTGATTATCTCAGTTTTATTATTGAATATGTTCTAGTATATTTGACTTTCAAAAATATTTTGAGTTCTGATTTATAATAAACCTTAATACGTGTCTGTGGACCTTGTCATAATCCGCCACAGAAGATTTTATGTATTGAAGTATTTAAACTGGAATAGCTTCTTTTTTTAATTATTTCATTTTATTTATTTTCATTTTAATTTTGCTATAGGATACATGTGCTCACCAGAGAGACAGAACAAGAGGGACTGAGAAAGCCACCTGGTCTAGGATTCATACCATGGTTAACCATGTGGGAGTCTAGTGCTTTAACCATCATGTTACCTGCTGGCCCCCTGGAATAATTTCTTTAGCTTCATCATTAATCAAATATTCAGGGCCACTAGGTTTGAATCCCAGACCCTGGGACTTGAAAATTGCACCGAGGACCAGGGGGAACAGCAGGTGGCTTAGTGGTTAAGGCTCTGAACCCTCAAATGTCCGACTACAGTTTGAGTTCTGGACCTGGCAGCTTGAAAATCATGCTGGCCACGTGTGTACGCTTGCCAAAATTCTCAGAGGAGAATAGGGTAGAAGGGATTGTGGCATGGCACCCCGCATGGAGAATGGTTTCCCACTTTCCTTCTCCCCTCTCTCCAGTTAGTGCACACACCCTATGGCAAAAGCCTTAAAAACAAACCAGTACTCAGTTGCCCACAGCTACAAAGGTAGAATTTTGGAGGCTAGTTTTTGTTGTCTTCCCTCACCATTTCATAAATGTAACTACACTAGTAACAGTAAGAAGTGTACCTACTGACTTAAGTATGCTTTGCCAAATTCTTTTTTTTTGGCATTTTGGCATGTTTACATTCTTAAGCACATCTATAATGGTTGAATTCATGGTGTTGAAGTTGGATATAGTCTCTAAAAAGAATAATCCTGGAGATTTAGGTACCTCTTTTTTAAAAATTATTATTTAATTTTATTTATTCATTCATTTATTTTAATTTGACCAGAGAGAGACACAGAGAGAGAAAGAGGGGGAAAGGGAGAAAGGAAGCTGCCAGGTCTGGGACTCGAACCATAGTCCACCATGTGGGAGTGTCCTTAACCACCATGCCACCTGCTGGTCCCCGGGCCTTTTTTTTTTGTAGATGATGAAACTGAGGTTTGTTCTGTGACAGATATAACAGCATTAAATAAAGTATGAATAGTTACCATAAAACTATGCTACTGAGAAAATCCTAATAGATTGCTATTTATTTGTATGTTTTTTCCTATCTAAAGCAGTGGAGTAATTGATGTTCAAAGCTGTAGAAAATGGGGATAGGTTGGTATACATGTGAATGAATACATGTGTCCATATATGTATATCATTCTTGGGGCATGTTAGTAAACATAGAATAGTAATGCTATCTCTCAAGCGAATAGGTAACATTGGCCTCCTGATAAGCTTAACCTTCAGTTTGTCATAGACATCCATTGCAAACCTGTTCACCATTTTATTTATTGTAGTGACTGTAAAATTACATTAGCGATCTTGTGTGTTTAATACATAGAACTTTCAAATACTTGGAAGTTCATGTTTATAAATTTGGGGGATTTTTTTGTTTTTGTTTTTGTTTTGGTAGGTTCTCTTTTGAATTTGGCGAAGCATGCAGCTTCTACAGTTCAGATTCTTGGAGCAGAAAAGGCACTTTTCAGAGCCCTGAAGTCCAGAAGGGATACTCCTAAGTACGGTCTCATTTATCACGCTTCACTTGTAGGCCAGACAAGCCCCAAGCACAAAGGAAAGGTGAGATACATTGTTTCCGAAGTTAGGCTTGCTTGCTTGCTTTTTTTCCCTAAACGGGTTGTTTCTTTCCTCTGTAGTATACATTAAATTTCACTGTTTTCTCTTTCTCATTAAATAATGGTTACTTCTTGGAACACTAGAAAAATAGGTTAAAAGATATTATTGCTGATCCCATGAAAGCCATTTTCTTTCACTGTGTTAACATTTTTCTAGGTTCCAACTGTGGGTGGCCCCAAAGGTATTTTGTGAGTTAGGAAAATCAAGTAACAACATTTATGAATTACAAAAAATAAGAGTAGGTGCATTGTGTGAGACCCTTTACTGTACTTTACTGAATCCTCAGTAATCCTGAAGATGTAGGTATCTCTTTTATAGATGATGCAGCTGAGGTTTAGACCCTTTAAAACTTTTCATCTTTTGTGGGATGCATAATTGAACACTGTCATTTTATGAAATTGAAAGCAGAGTACTGAGAAGTGAATGTTCACTGAAGTAAAATGTTAACGTTAGTGAGATCCACAGCCATTAGATGTGTAATCCTGTTAAAAGGGAAGGATACAGTTGTGCTGGATGGCCTCAAGGTGCAGAACTAGCATTAAAATCGGACCTTGGAAGCGTAGTTCGAGGTAATTCTAGACATGAGCTGCTGTCAGGTCTTTTTATCCTCCAAAGTGCTAGTGATGTGTGTAACTAGTAAGTAGCCTTTTCATTTTGGCAGAGTCAATATGACAGGTGGCTTGACTTGTATGGCTTGTAATACTTTTAATAATTCTAGATTTCAAAAACCCTATAATAAATACTTATATGATAACTTGCTATAATTTCCTTGTGAATAGATTATTTAGGGAATCTTACACCTGAACTTGGAATATACTTTGATTGCCTACAACATCATATTTTCTGTTAGATTTCTCGAATGCTGGCAGCCAAAACTGTTTTGGCCATCCGGT